ATTAAATTAAAAAAAAAATTAATGTTTATTTCTGAGACAGAGAGCATGAGTGGGGGAGGGGCAGAGAGAGAGAGGGAGACACAGAATCTGAAGCAGGCTCCAGGCTCCGAGCTGTCAGCACAGACCCCAACATGGGGCTCGAACCCACAAACCATAAGATCATGACCTGAGCTGAACTCGGTTGCTCAACTGAGTGAGTCACCCAGGCGCCCCAGAAAAAATTTTTAAAAATTACTTAGCTTAATCATTATGTCTCTCATATAGAGAAGTTTCTGTGTATAAAATATCCAGTAGATGATATATTCCTCAGTTTAGTTTTGAATATGCTTTGGAAGAAATTAAGTAATATTACTTACATTATTCCGTACTTAATACCTACAGGCTTTCATTTAAAAGAACACAAAAAGAATAAGACCAGATGGGTACTGCAAGTTACATTGATCAGTTTTCTCTCTTTCATAGAGTAGTAAAATGAAATGGAGTTTTATTCTGTTGTGTTTATTTTATGTAGCCTCATACATTTTTACATAAAATTTTATCAAGCTTACTTTAGTAGTTTAGTTTTATTTTTGTACTGTAGCTTTTACATGTTATTTAAATGGAAATAATTCCTACCAACCTTAGTAAAATAAAATTTTGAAGAATTTGCAAACTATATTGGTTAGCTATTAACTTGACTACCTAGAAGGGATCTCAAGATCATTTACTTGTGCATTCCATGTGATGAGTGAATATCATTCAATATAATCAACCATATAGCTATTTTCTTTTGCCCTTTTAATCTTCTATATTTTCCTCTACACATTTATAAAATCCTCATTTTTTTGTTAATTGAGAGCCAACAATTTTTTTTTTCAGGTTGCAATATGCATTTACTATGTTTAATAGAAAAGTGTAACTATAGATTTATGTAATTATCAATACATGTAGACAAGATGGGATGTCATGAGCTTAAAGAAAACATTCAATTGTGACAAAAGAACCATAGCTGTTAAAATTACATGAATTTTAAAGCTGCCTTATACTTTTGTTTAAGACTAAGGTACACTGCATATTAAGATAAAAGTAGCCTTTTTACTTAAAATGTGTAGTTTTATTTTGTGTTTTGTATTTTATGTTCAATATTTATTATTATTTTAAGTACATGGCTTATTAAATCGGCCCAATAACTTAAAGGTTTACAAGTGTTTTTGACCTTCCCTGAGAAAAATCACTTCATGTGGATATATTTGGTGTTTTTATACCCATGTTACTATCACAGCCATGTAATAGTAAAAAAAAAATTTTTTTTTTCTTTTTGAGAAATTGGATTTCAACTTTAAATTCTATTAAATTAAGTTTCATTCTTTAAATTCTCTCCTGCTGTCAGCACAGAGCCTGACACAGGGCTCGATCTCATAAACCATAAGATGATGCCCTGAGCCTAAGTCAAGAGCCAGATGCTTTAACTGAATGAGCCACCCAGGCGCCCCAACATGCTAACTTCACTTAAATTGAACAGCATTCCCCTGTTTATTGGGTGCCTAACAATGTAGTTTCTCTGTAGGTTCTTGTTTTTAAAGAGCTTAGATTCATGTTTGGAAGACAGCATTTATATAAATGATAAAAGACAGTGCAAGCTAAAATAAGTAACAGAGTGCTCACTCCTACCAATATAGTCAAACATTTACACTATACAAAGTATAGAAAATAGCATGATTAGCCAGATTAGTTCAGCCACTCACTGAAAGATTCATTCAAGAAACAATGAAGACCTTGGGAGTGGAGAGGAGTGTCAGCTGAGATAAAATTTCAAGTCCTTAAGGTCTACGTTTGTATCATTCCCTTTTTTTTTTTTTCAATGTTTATTTATTTTTGGGACAGAGAGAGACAGAGCATGAATGGGCGAGGGGCAGAGAGAGAGGGAGACACAGAATCGGAAACAGGCTCCAGGCTCTGAGCCATCAGCCCAGAGCCCGACGCGGGGCTCGAACTCACGGACCGCGAGATCGCGACCTGGCTGAAGTCGGACGCTTAACCGACTGCGCCACCCAGGCGCCCCATCATTCCCTTTTTTAAGACTTGCCAAGGTATCCTGTGACCGACTATGACTAGGTTACTGACGTATTGACTCTTTGACAAATAATATATGACCTGGAAGGATCAAAAATAATTCACATGACATTAATTTCTTCTTTGTTTAGTGAAAATGCCAGAATGTTTGAAAAGCCACATGATTTAGAAAATTGAGTGAAAGACTGGCAAAAGGGAAGAGGAGAAATTCTAACTCTGAATATCCTTAATTTACACTGCCACATCCCTTCACTTACTCTTGTGTATTCACTTTTTGAAACCAAAGGAATGCATGACAAAGGTTATTGAATTATGTAGTTCAAAAGAACCATTAGTTAGGTATATCTCCCTTGTGCTTTTCCTATTTCCGGGATCAGTACTTTTATTTTCTTAGTTTTTCTGTGAATACCTTTATTAGTCTAAATCACAGGTTGGTAAACTATGGCCCATCAGTCACATGTGGTTTCTTGATCTATTTTTTTAAGACCTATCAGTCAAGATTTTTTTCTTTTTTTACATTTTTAAAGGGTTGTAAAAAACCAAAGTAACAACAGCAAAAAATTAAGGTGAATATGTGACAAGTGACTGTATGTGATTGCTACAGAGTCTGTAATATTTACTATATGATCCTTTGCAGAAAAAGTTTAGATTTCTGATCTCTACATGGGTGTGAGTGTGTATGAATGTGCTTGCACACATATACATACATACAGACATGCACACATGGATGTGCTTACTAATTTAACAACCTAACCATTTAGTTTCTTGCCATATAAAAGACTAGCTTATACTACTTACTGCTATTTTTACTTTTTGCTATTTTTATTTTATTTTATTTTATTTTATTTTATTTTATTTTATTTTATTAGTTTTAACATTAGTATTAACTCTTACGTTGGTTGCATTTGTAGTTTTAAATACTATACTGAAACTTCTTGTTTCCTGTTCCAACATGTTTGGGTAGGCATATAAATAGATCTATAGGCAGTGACTGGTGGATCTTTTCTTGTTTTTTGTCCAGACTTAGTAGTATTTTCTAAATTTTCATCACTGAGACCGGGTACTTTACCCTCAGAAGCTAGCACAATGCTTGATGCTTCATAAGAGTCAAATATTTCTTGAGTATGTATATGTGTGAGACAGTTTGTCTCTCAGGGGATCCACTGTCATCTTTACAGAGGCTTGTATAGCTTTTCCCAGTTGGCACTGTAGTCATAGTATATCTTTTTACACTTACTACATCATATAAAGTGACCCAGAAGCATAAACATATATGTTGTTACTGAAATATCTTCTGTTTTGTTTTTAACCTCCCATAGAAACTTGTGTAAAACATATTTTCTTGTGTATGGATTTGAGGTTATTGCATTGGAGGTGACTTAGGCATTGATTGTAGGATCAGATTTGGATCACTGAGCTAGAATGTATCATTGAGACCCTCAAGTATTTAAGGAGCGTCCTAATCAATCAGAAACTGTTGTACAAAGCAGTAATACAATGGCAAACAAGGCATGTATAGCTGCCCTCCTGGAACTTAGTGGAAGAGAGAGGCAAATAAACACTCAAATAACCATATCTACAAGTAAATATAAATGCAAACTGAGATAAATAATTTGAAGGAAAAGAACAAGTTATGTGAGAGAAAACCTTAGAGTGCAATCCTAAGTCAGAGACTTCCATATGAATTCAAATGATGATTAATGTTTAGCACCCTAAAATATTTTCTGTCCTCTAAGGCAGTGGTTCTGAAACTTTAGCATGTATCATACTGACAAGAAGTGTTAAAATGTAGGGATCTTGGCCCCAAGTTCAAAGTTTCATATTCAGTAGGTCTGAATGGGCATGAGGATTTACACTTCTAATAAATTCCTAGATGATTATGATTCTGCTAGTCCAGGAAATGACACTTCAGGAACCACTGACTTGAGACAGTGGTTTTCAGCACATTGGAATAACTTGGAGAACTTTAACAAAATACTGATGCTTAGTTCCTCTCCTTGGAAAATCTGATTTAATTATGTGGAGATATGGACTAAGTGTGGAGCTTTTTAAAATACCCTAGGTGATTCTAATATGCAGCCAGGTTTGTAAGCTACTTAGTGTAGAATTTGAACATGTATCACATAGAGTTTCTTAGTGGGGCAGAAAATACCTAATCCTGCCCAATGGGAAGAAGGCATAGAGGAAGTAGGGAAAAGGCTGGAATAGAAAGCTTCGGTGAAAACATGGTACCCAAACTAAGGCTTAAAAGTTTATCTGTCTATACCATAAGCTTATTGAGAAGAGAATGTGTCAGACAGAAGAAATGGTACACAACATGTAGGATTAGGATAGATTTTGTTTCATAAATAATCCTAGGTAGTAGATCATTTCCATTTCTGAAACGTAGCCATTCTGATATTGAGTGCCTCGTATATCAGCAACAGAGGGATAATTTATTTTTCATTTATAATTACATATAAAATAAGGATCATTATGCCATATCCAAATAATTTTTATTTATTAATATGCTCTATTTAATAGGATGAGAAGAAGAAACCGAAAGACTAGGAGATATGGAGTTTTGGATACTAACATAGAAAACATGGAGTTGACACCTTTAGAACAAGATGATGAGGATGATGATAACACTTTGTTTGATGCCAATCATCCTCGAAGGTAAGTAAGTGTTGGACAGTTTCATTCCATGAATTAGGAGGCAAGTTCTTGATAAGTAAAGTGAAAAAATAAAGTAGAAAAAATACAGTATTTCATTTAGCAGTTTTTATCCTAACAGATTTTATTTAGTTCTATTTAATGAAGTTCTTTGTTTTACCCAACCAATAGATCACATGCACATTGCTTTGCTAAAATAGGTATAAACAGAATATCATCCCCACAAGAAATCTTCATTGTAGGTCTCCTTGTAGAGCTTTGTTCTTTCAGCTGCTACATGTAACATGTAGTAAGTCTGTGTGTGCGTATGTGCGTGAGAAAGAGAGAGAAAGAAAGAGAAATATTAATAAACTTGATTTTCTTTTTGCATTCTGAAAATATTTTGATTTTAGTCTGTTATTCTATTTGTAAATCATGTTTTTGTGCAAATTGTGGTATTAGTGGTCTGATAGTGTAGCTAATGGTCTGATATCTATTCTCAGATCTATTCTTGCTGTTAAGATGCTTCCTAAGAAGTTTGGATAAGCAGAGTTAACGGCTATGGACTTAGTTTCAAAGCAGATGGAATGAAGAAAGGAGGTAGTAAAAAAAATCCCTTCAATAGGGAAAGACATGTTGGAATAGAGAGGAGATTTTTTGGGCAAAAGAAAACTAGAGTCCAGATTTAGTTACAAATACCATGAGTACAGAAATCTTGGATTTTTATACATGTAAGGATGGGAGGATCAGCTTTGGCAGGACATAGGAGTGTGCAAGTTTTGTTTTTTGTTTGTTTGTTTTTTTTTTTTTTTTTTTTTTGAGGGAAATGTGTAGTTTTATAATCTGCTAAAGAGTTTGGTATCAACCTGCTGTCAATGGGGAACCATTGGTGTTGTATGGAGTGTATGTAATCAGATAATCAGATACATGTTGTAGAAGAGTATGTCTTGTAGTAGTGGAGAAGGTGGACTAGAAGAGCTGAAGGATGGAGAGGGACAGAACCAAGGAATATAGGAGGCATGTAAAGGAGGGAATGATTTCCATGAGATGTAATTAGCTGTAGTTATCTTTTATTTTGTATCCTGCCTCACCACAGACCTTTCTCTAATACTTACACCACTCTTGTTGCCCACTTTTCATGAATTTTGTGTTCTATTAGGGAGCTAGACATTAGAGTTACATAAACAGTAAATACAGGGTGGTATGAGAACTTGTACTAGGGACATAGAACACTTAAGCAAAAACTAATGGTTCAGAAAAGCCTCTTAGACGTAATATGTTAATGGATACTGAAAAATGAGCAAAAATTAGCAACATTAAAGGTGGATGTAGAGGTGGGAGCTGGAGAGAGAACAGCAGGCACACAACACAAGAGGCAAAAGAGAATATAGAGTATTCAAGAATCTAAAAGAAGTTAAATAGATGCTGGGGTGCCTGGGTGGCTCAGTCAGTTAAGCATCCAACTCTTGATTTCAGCTCAATTGTGAGATTGAGCCCCATGTCAGGCTCCATGTTGAGCGCTGAGCCTGCTTAAGATCCTCCCTCTCTCTCTCTCTCTCTCTCTCTCTTCCTCTCTTCCCCCTTCCCCATCCCCCTCTGCCCTGATTGCTCACTCCCTCTCTCTAAAAAATAAAGTTTAAAAAGTAATAAAATATAACTAAAAGAAGTTAAATAGATGCTGTTAATCTATGTGAGAATAAATGAATGAGTGAATAATTTTTGAGCTTTGAACGCAAAAGTAAGAGTGATGAGCAAGGAAGAACAAAGAATCAAAAGGCAGATCATGATCCATGACAATCAGTGAGAAATTATTCTACAGGTTATGAAAAGCCACTTAGAAAATTTTAAGATAGGAAACATAATCAAAGTTGTGTTTTGAAGATTACATAGATTGGAGGAAAGTAAGATAAGGAGTAAGGCAACCAGGAAGACCAGTTAGATGGTGCAAGTACATGGGGTGGCCAGTAGTAGAGTGATAGCAAGAGAAATGGAAAGGAGTTAATTATTCAAGAGCCTTTGAAAGGTATTAGGAACCAGATTTAGAAACTGTGTTTGGAGAGTTAAGGTGGGAGAAATGGTTATAATAATAGGAAACCATGTTTCAGGGGTAATTCTAATTATCAGTGATAATCTTTTATTTATTTTTTTATTATTATTTTTTAATGTTTTTATTTTTATTTTTGAGACAGAGAGAGACAAAGCATGAGCAGGGGAGGGACAGAAAGAGGGGGAGACACAGAATCTGAAGCAGGCTCCAGTCTCTGAGCTGTCAGCACAAAGCCCGATGCGGGGCTTGAACTCATGGAGTGTGAGATCATGACCTGAGCTGAAGTCGGATACTTAACCGACTGAGCCACCCAGGCACCCCAGTGATAATCTTTTACTACTATGTATGACTCCACTTATTTAAAAAAAGACGTAGAAAAAACTTTAATGTAGATATGTTTGATTAAAGTAGGGAGAACAGTAAATAAACAGTGCTTACATATTCATTCATTCATTCATTCATTCATTTATTGATCCAAGAAATGAATGATTGAGAAGCAATTTACACAGCAACTGTTTAGTGCCTAGCGCTGACCTGGGATACAATAGAGCAACAACAACAGAACAGAAAAAGAAAAAAAAATTCTAACTTTGTGAAGGTTAACTTCTAGTGACGAAAGGTTGAGATTGGGAGGTTGACAGTTCATTTTCATTTTTGTTTCTATATCTTTCTATGTTGATTTTTTTTTCCTCAAGAACATATATTTATGCACTACTTTAGGAAAAAAAAAACTTTTTGTTTGGGAATAATTTCAGAAAAGTCCTAAGAATAAAAATAGTACAAAGAATATCCTATTATTTTTTTTCAATGGTTTTTAATGTTTATTCTTGAGAGAAGGAGACAGAGCAAGAGCGGGGGAAGGGCAGAGAGAGAGGGAGGCGCAGAATCTGAAGCAGGCTCCAGGCTCTGAGCTGTCAGCACAGAGCCAGACGCGGGGCTCGAACTCACAAACTGTGAGATCATGACCTGAGCTGAAGTCAGACGCTTAACTGACTGAGCCACCCAGGCATCCCAGAATATCCTATTATTTTTAAATCTAGATTTACCTATTGTTCACATTTTACTTAAGAGACTCTTAACTAACTGTAGAGAACAAACTGATGGTTGCTGGAGGGAAGGTAGGCAGGGGATAGGCTAAGTGAGTGATGGGTATTAAGGAGGGCACTTGCTGTGATGAGCATCGGGTGTTGTACCTAAGTGATTAATCACTAATTTCCACTGCTGAAACCAATATTACATTATATGTTAACTAACTAGAATTTAAATAAAAACAACATATTTTACTACATTTCTTCTTTTGTGTTCTACCTCATAGTGTAGCTACAGAAAAATGCATCTCCCTCATTTTATGTTTACCTAATGTTCTGATGTTTCCTTGTAATTAGATCCAGGTTATACATTCTTACCTGAAGTACTTTCTCAGGCTATCATATCTGGAGACACACAATGTCCTTCTTTCCTTCATTAGCAGTAGTAATTTTGATGCACCTATCTAAAGTTTTGCCCAGTTTCTCTAGTATGTTACAATTTTTCCTCACTGCAACCAAGAAGATATTTTAAAATCCTGAAAATATTCTTTCTTTTTTAATTTTTTTTGCATTTATATATTTTTGATAGGCAGAGAGAGACAGAGCACAAGTTGGGGAGGGGCAGAGAGAGAAGGAGACACAGAATCCGAAGCAGGCTCCAGGCTCCGACCTGTCAGCCCAGGGCCCAACGCGGCCCAAACTCACAAACCGCGAGATCATGACCTGAGCCGAAGTCGGACGCTCAACCGACTGAGCCACCCAGGCGCCCCAGAAAATATTCTTATCAAAATTTTCCCCTAGGTTTAGCAGTCATTCGTCTTAATTCTTGCCAGATCTGATCTTCACTGTGATAGTCGCAAAGTAATGATTTTCCAACTTAAACATTTCCTTCATATTTACCAATTAGCATTGATACTATAGTGTAAGCAAGAGCTTTTCCTCGTTCCTTCTGCATTCATTTATCTAACTATTGACAGTATAGAATCATGATTCTTCTCTTGTTTCAGTGGTGTGTAATTCATTGTTGTACTTGCCAGTGGGAGCCTCTTCAAGCTGGCTTCTGTGTCCTTGTGATTTGCTCCCATTGTTTTTAAAGCACTTCCTTACTTTCTGGCCTAATAAGCTATTCCACGCTCATTTTGTATCTATCCTGCCGTAGTGATGGAATCAGCCATTTCTCCAAAGAGCTTTGGTTTCTGTTAGTGGCCCCTAAATGAGCTCTTTGTTACTAAAGTGTGTCCTTACTTCTTGGTCCTTTCAGCCATTAGGGCTATGAAATGTGTGGGCACACACACGCATGCCCATATAAACATGCGTATTCACATATATACATAAACTTTACATAGTATTACTTCATACCTCCCGTTCTATCATGCTGGTCTATCGGCACTGGGTTCTTTCTTGCCTTCTTCCTTTTCCATAGCTGCATTCTCTTTGTTCTGTCACGAGAATGACTTCCAACAATGTTCTGGATCCCAACAACATCAGCACATTTACTCAGTTGCTTATTCCTAAAATAATATTAATACAGTTTCAGAATTGCTTTACCTATGGCACTATGATAAACAAGCCAGCTAAGGTTTAGAGTTTGTTAGTTCTCTCTTTACAACCTCATCTTGCCCAAGACAGAATATATAGTTAGATATGTACGTGATTTGGCTTGGTTCTCTTTTCCTCCCCTCTTTAGTGTGATTATCATAATCACTTGAAATATAATTTAAGTCATTTGAGTTTGCTTTTTGTTTCAGATTTTTTCCTCCCCTTCCCATTTTCATTGGCATTTTTAATATGAAAAGTACTAACATGCTTCCAAAAGTAAAAACTATACACATTTTTTTTTTTTTAAATATACACACACATACACTCAGGAATAGCATTCCCTCTTATATTCTTTACATGTCATTTTCCCCACCTCACCCCTTTAGGTAATCAGTTTCGTTATTTTATGG